GCAGGGGCAGGGCGGGGCAGCGGGGTTACAGCGAGTGCTCTGGGCCCGCCCCGGGCTGCGGCCGGCTCCTGGAGAGCTGGCCAAGGACTCCGTGCCTGTGGGTCGGAGGCAAAGCTGGTCTGAAGCTAAGGTTTCCTAGTGTTGTAACTTCTGGGTTGAAATGACCGTTTCCCCCTTTTTAGTTATCCAGAGTGTCTGCGGGTGCGCGTGGGGGCGGAGGGAGGACTGGGACCTGACAGCCGGTGGGGGGGGGGTCTCCTGGGGAGCCCACAGCCAGTGTCTCTGCGATCCTCAGCTCCTCGATGTCAGGGGACCCTGTGTCTCCCAGGGAGGAGAACGGGCAGCCTGGCCCCCTTCCCAGGCGTGTGTGGGCGGGGGTTCGGCGTCTCCCCGGCTCTAGGGTCCTCCTTTTGTCTGATGTGCGCGGATCATTTACAGGCTCATCTCGCCTCCCTTAGCACCCACGCCCGCAGCCTCCGCTCTGCGCGGCCAGGGAGCTTGTATTTAAAGATGCAGTGGGCTCACTGGGTTGAAAACTACACAGCAACGAACACTTCTTGGGCACCCAGCCGCTAGCAGTGGAGACATCTCAAGGCCACGATGCAGCGGTGTCTGCTGCATCTCAGAGGCGGCAGCCAAGGCACCCAGCTTTCCCCGGCCTGGAGCGCGCAGGCTCGAGGCCTCCTTGAAGCCAAGTCCGGGTGACCTTCTGACCAGGAGTCCCCGGAGGGCAGGCGGCTGTCCGTCTCTGCTTTCTTTTTGACAGCCTTTGTACTCCTGGCTGATGAGACAAGCTTTAAATCACTGGAGTCTTGAAAAGCTACTTTCCTGTTCTAACAGTGAGTAGGCTTGAAAAACAGTACACTATTAGGAAACGGTTTTGGCAAAGCCCAGAATTATTTGTGCAGCGCCTAAACTCTCAGCAGCTCCTCTCCGATTTCAGACTCGTGGAAATACTTTCTGCTCACGACCCTGTGTGCCCGTGAGTTCCTCGCAGTGAAGGAAATCAAGCACGTGTTCCAACAAGGAATTTAAAGTTGCTTTGTTAGCACTGAGGGCAAACTTCTTTCAAACACTACTGATCTCTTGATGTTGTCTTTGGATGTATGCACTATGATTTTAGAAAAATGGACACAGTGCTGTATACTAGTTAATTATAGGTTTGCGGTTCTGATAGGTTGAGTGGAAAACTTAAAGAATTGATCGTTTTACCTAAACAATTTGTAAGAATATTTCTCCCATGGCCTGTAAGCATTTCCGCTAACATTTTTCCTTTCAACTTAAAATATATATGAATTATTCAAATGTTTTTTTTTCAAAATGCTTTGAAAACATACTGGTGATGATAAAGGAGTGGCTGCTGCTATCCTGATTCTCTTGTAAATAACCATCCCATCTGATCTGCCCTCCCCTCACTGCAGAGGGTTCACTGAAAAGATATGCATCCAAGCACTTGCTCAGAAGAGGCATAGCCCTTTGTTGGTGAGCAGGAACTGTGTATAATATTAACACTTCCTGTCTGGTAAAATACCGTATTTTAAAAAATAAGCTACAATGTATAAAACCAAGGTCATTTCCCACAAAACGTTGGTGTTCTCTGTGATTACAAAACACTGCATCTTGTAAAATATTCCCAGTTCTGCTAACTTGAGAAGCTGACTACTAATGCGTATTATAAAAGTGTCACCTCCTAGAATTTCAGAAGCCTAAGCAGTATGTTTCATTTGGAAAAGTATTACTGTATTTAAGATTACATTTTGCCACAACGTATTACCACTGTGATTCTCTGACCTACACAACCAAAGTTATAAAACATGAGATTGTCTGCAAAAAAAGGAGCTATTTACAAAATAGGACCAGAGGTAAAATTCTCATTTTGATTCTTGGTCCTACAATAGATACACCTTTTAAAGCATGTACATTATTGGATATAGGCTTTTTAAAAGTCAGCCGTAATAAGCAAACCACTTAAATACATTTTATACTTTCTTGCTCTATTGATGTGCATTACTAGGCAACATGACTGATACCTAAAAGTGCGAATCTCATTTTATTTACTGACTCCGGGTTTGGCGAGTTACAATGCTAGAGGGACAGAACGAAACAGGTCCAGTGTGGAGGAACCCCCACAGGTAGAGGGACAGGGAGAGTCTGTGTGCTGCTAGTAGGGTTCCTTTCTTAGAGAAATGAAATTTCCAGTTGACCTGTGTGCCCGGCACATTCTCCACAATGACCTGCATTCTCACTGTTATTCACGCATCCTGCGTTTCCACGCATTTGTATGCAACATTCTTCCGTGTTCAGTGCTACAGGTCAGTGCTACAGCTGATGTGGCTGACAGAAATCCTACAGGGCTGTGAGAAAAAGCAGCACCTTGTCCACAGAAGTCCACGGCGGTTTGCTCCTTAACATGCTAGTAAAGCAAAATGCACATCTGTAACGGCTTGCTTTCACCTACAGAACTCTGCTTATAGCTAAGAAACGGCCACCCAAACCGGGTGATTATAAAAAGGAATGGCAAGGCTTCGTATTAACAAATACATTCAGAAAAAGCCTCACGGAGTCTGTGAACACCCACCAGGCTGTGTGCCCAGGTGCAGATGTCAGCCGTGGCGTGCAGGCAGCTACGAGGGACAGCCCTTCCGTGGGACGTCCCCCCCGGCTCACAAAGGCAGTACTGTCCGGTTCGTGGAAACGTGTTTTGAAAGGGTTCTGTTTTCACATGAAAAAAGCTGTTCTGACTAGAAAAGACTTTAGTGATAATAAAAATGCTTCCTAGACCTCGGATTCTCTAGACCTATGTTCACATAGCCTTTGTTTCCCTGAGGAAATAATATTTACAGTATTTTGCTACTATTCCCAAGGTGTTCTTTTATATGTACAGTTCTTGCTACTTCTCTCTGAGCCTTCTCAGGTGAGCGCTGCACTTGGTTTCCCAGCCGTCTGATGAGGGGCCGCGGAGCTCAGCAGTGCCGGCGGGGTCGGAACGCTGGGCTGTGTGCACTGGGTGGCGTGGCATGTCACCAGAGCCAGCTTCAGCTCAGAGGGCCTTGACATTTAATGGGGCACATTTCAGATTTGTTTTTTGCAACACACACATGACTATCTCTGAAAAGTCCAAGTGTCATTCTCTACGGAAGATTTTCACCTGCCCTTGTGACCAGGCAGCAGCTGTCTAAGAAAGGGCACCCTGTTTGCATGTGGAGCTGCTCACAGGTGCTTTGCAGCTGAGGATGCACCTTCCTGGTCAGAGGCCCACCACTCTGCCAGGCGTGGTGGCACACGCCTATAATCCCAGCACTTGGGAGGCTGAGGCAGGAGGATCGCTGTGAGTTTGAGGCCAGCCTGAACTGCATAGTGAGACCCTGTCTCAAACAACCCCCCAAAACAAAACAAAAACAAAACAAGACAAACCCCACTACTCTTCTCTTCCTGCCACTAGCTTTTGCTAACCAAGGGATAAAACTTCACAGCAAGTGAGGTGGAGACAAACTCATGTCTGCCAGAGATAAGCCTGGCAGCTGCGCAGGGACAGTTGCTGCTGGCCTCAAGATGAGCAGGAGCCGGGTGGCCACAGGCCCCTTGCATCTCTCCCCTGATGGTCACCACCTGGTGCTGCTCCAGGTTGTCTCCTGCCTCCCCCACGTTGTGTTGAGACTCTGGGAAGACTAAGGCTTCACCTGCTGTACAAGCTTCCCTTTGCAGCTGGTCGGAACGTGGCCTGTCTGGTGCTGGGAAACGCCTTCTTCGGGAGAAACAAGATGTCCCGAAAGCAGAGGCAGCAAAGGTGAAAACAAGCCGAGAATTCTCCCTGGGCCACGGAGAGAACCCGCTGTGGAGCCACGGCTTTCGCACAGACAGGCCTCCGAGCACCCTGGGACGGTCGGGGCTCCGGTTCAGCAGCCAGCTCACCCGGGCAAGCGCAGACCTCAGAAGTACTTGGTGCCACAGAGATGGAAGAGAGTGAGAGTCTGGCTTAATTTGGCACTTCATTTGGTTCCAAAAATAAAAAAGCTACTTTAAAAAAGTTAACTTGTACAAGCAGTAGCTATGTATTGCAGTTCGGAGCTCACGGTGTGGCCTGTTAGAAGTGTAACTCCCTTTCTCCAAGGCCAGTCGGGAGTGGCGTGGTGGCTGCGGCCCAGGAAGGTACACAGGGTCTGTCCACAAGTGGCAGCCAGCAGAGAAAGTGCCCAGAGCCCTGGGCTGGTCAGCAGGTGGAGCACCCTCCAGGCAGGAGGCGAGAGAAATCTGTATGCAAAAGTCCTCAGGGAAAAGGCCCAGGGAAGCTGCACCATCTCTGCAGTTCCTGCTTCCACCCGGGCACGGCGGAAAACCGGGGTAAGGACGGAGCTGGGCTCAGCGAGGCCTGCGCTCGGAACTGCTCCAGGGCTGCGTCTCTGGACGTGACGGCCACGGAGCCTGTCTCCACGGCAGAGACCTCTCCTGCCATCCCTTTTGTGACTTAACCCAAGGGTCAAAGGCCAGGAGCTTCGCCGAGAAGAGAGCCCGCCAGCGCAGGGCTACAGCTGACTGCTGTCAGCTAAGTACAGTCCACGGGGCCCTGCCGCGACGGGCTGGCCCCGGCCGCCTCACACCTCTGGACAAGCGGCTCCTCACCCAGCGCCTCCTGACCGGGGCACAGGTCATCCATCTCACGGCAGCAGCGCTGCAGGCGAAGCGACAGGACACTGAGCAAAGATACCGTGGGCGCAGAGAAAGTGAACACATCTCTACGTTTCGAGAAACGCCGATTTCTGGCTTTGTACGTGCCAGGCATCTAGCACACCTGGTGTGGCTGCTGTTAATTAGCAACTTTGATATGAATTTGAGTGAAACTTTTTTCTCTTTTTAAAAAAATAAATGAAGGAAAAGACCAGGATCTCTTCCAAGGAATCATTTTTAGAAAGTCATATGCGCGTGTAAAAAATAAAATTGCCAAAATATATGAATACACAAATACGAATGCTGCCCTGTAGCACCTCCTTACGCACTCTTGCTTATAGTAGAAAAGGGTGTCTGTCTTTATTAGGTGACTTCTTTCCACTCTTACAAAAGCCTATGTACATCCTCTGAACATACACTACGCTCTGCTCTGTGCAACCTCACTGGACATTCCCACGGCCGAAGCGACGCCCCATCCCCACACAGCGCGCCCTGTGAGGTGCTCCTGCTTCTCTGCACACGTACAGGAGAAGTCGTCGTCCGCAGCGCCTTACAGGGCTCCACAGCTGTGCCTCCTCCCCGCACCCCCGCCACAGCAAGCGAGCACGTCACAGCTAGCGCACGGCGCAAGCCCTGCCCTGCTGAGCCACGCGGCTCCATACCAACACGCACTTCCTTTTGGCGTTCTGTCTGTTCCTTTCTGAGCAAATTCGTAGTAGCTCCCACATTTTTCCAAGAAAATAAAGGTCTAGACCTTTTATCTGTATTTATATTGTGCATACACCCTTCTCCCGGATACACTAAAGCATAAAACCCATGAAAGTGCGCCCAGCATGGAAGCTGGTCTATTGACCTGATGTCACTTTCTGAACAGACCGGACAGGTCAGCTGCGCTGTCGTCCAAAGCAAACCTTCGGGACAGACTGGCGCCCTCCACCTCTGCTGGGGGGTAGGTGTGGCGGGGAGGACGGTCACTCATTCACCGGGCTACGACCTGGACGGCAGGCGGCACTGGAGGGATCCGAGCTGCCGTCCGAGCGCACCCCGGACAGCGGCGGGCTTACCCCGGCGGCTCCCGTGCTGCTGCTGGGCTCAGCTGTGGCGGTGCGGACTTCACCGTGCTGCCTGTCGGGGGACACTTCGCACAGACCCGAGGAGGACTCCGAGGCGCTCCCGGCAGGGACAGCAGGTGTCCTCAACGCAGCCGGGGGCCGAGTCTAGGGCGACTCCCACTGCCAGGTGTTTTCTGAGCTTACCCCATCCGGGACCCTCCACGCTAACGCTCTACCGTGGTTCAGTCTGGGGCTGGTCTTAAAACAAAACAGAACAGACACAGAAAAGATCCCCAGAGCGCTGCTCTCCCTGCAGCACGTCACCACGCGTAGGGCTCCAAGGAGTCGAGAGAAGCAGGGGAGAGGCTATTCACAAAGTAGGCGGCGTTCGCTGTACAAATGCTACTGAATGACACGTAGCTGAAGTGTTACGTGTCAAAAAACCTCAGAAATGTCACAATTCAGAAAGCTTATCAAAAAGTACCTCCTTTCCAGGTAAAAACGGGCTTGGTTGGTTCAGCTGCTACAGAAGTCCACAGATTTAGGACCTCACGCCAAGTTCACTTTTCTTTTGAAAGGGAAGAAAACCATTCTAGGTGTTTTGGGCCCGATTCCCAGGAAGTGCAGCGGAACGCGGTGACTGGATGTTAATTCCACCCAGGTTCCGGCAAGGGCTTTCCCTGGGCCTCAAGAAAGCGGCGGCTGGAAGGGGCTGCTCTCTCCAACCCCTGCGGCAGCAGGCGCGGCTCTGGCCTCAGTCCACGAACCTCTGGCAGGCCTTCTTCCAGCGGCAGGCGGTGCACCACATGTCCCGGTTCTCCATGCCGTACACCTTCCGGCACTTCTTGCCCTCTCCTCGGGGCTTCCTGCAAGACAGGGGGGATGTTTTCCGTGAGGGGGACGCAGTGGGCCTTCTGCAGAGAGCGGGAAGACCAAGGGAAGAGCGCGGAGGCACAGCAGGGCCTCTCGGGTCCGACGTCAGCACGTGCCAGATGCTTCCCCTGCGGGCACGGCGCCGCCACAGCTGGCTCGGGCAGCCCTCGAGCTCCTCCTCCGTGACGCGTCCCCTTGGCCAGCCCCGCACACCACAGGCTAAGGGCGCAACAGCGCTCTGTTCTAAGTTTCCCAGCACGCACTTCCCAGGGCTCCCTCACTTCTGTCTCGGGAGTTGTGGTTAGGGACTTCCCGGGGGCCCCGTCTGGATGAAAAGCCTGTGGTTCATTTCATACAGAGGCCAAGGCAGCACAGTTCTACTCTGCAAGGAAACTCACTGGAAATTACCCACTGTAAATCGCCGTTGGTGCGCGGGAAGGGGCGCTGTGCGGACGGAAGACAAGCCTGACGGAGACTTGCACCCGCCGCCCGCACTTCGCCGTCTTTCTGTTCTCCAGGTGGTTCCCTGGAAAGCAGCGAGTTTCTGCGGACGTACCTCAGGCCGACGGCCCCTCTGGGCGGGGAGGACAGCACCGTGTGGGTGTGCTGCCGCTGCTCGCCGGCGCCCGCCGGGGGGTGATGGTGCGTTGGTGACACCTGTTAAAGACACAGAGTCAGAGTCCAGCAGCTGCTCCTCCCCGTCAGACAGGAAGGCGCAATGCTTTCCCATGGGGACACGTGTTAAACAGACGAGGGGCACCAGGGCGGAATTCAAATGGCTCTGCTGGGGAAGAAGAACCCTTCACTGCTGGAGGGGGTGTAGACTGGCGCAACCACTGCGGAAGTCAGCCTGCGGACTCCTCAAAACACAAAACAGAAATTCCATTCCACTCAGCTACTGCCCTCTGGGTATCTTCTTCTCCAAACAATAAAGACGTCGTATTACAGTGGCACATGCATGCCCATACGTAAAGCAGTACAAGTCACAAGAGCTAAGTCTGGGCATCAGCCTACATATCCATCAGCAGATGAATGAAGAAAATGCGGTTTTTGTGACAGTGGAGTACTACTCTGCCATAAAGAAGGACAAACTTGAGTCTGTAGGAAAATGGATGCACCTGGAGACTATAAATATCACATGGTTTCTCTTATATGAGAAATGCAACATACAAATAAAGTGCTAATCAAAAGACAAAAGAAAAAATGTTACTATACTCCATGGACACTGTATCTAAAAGTGTACCCCAATTTACTATAATTGTCCTATGTGTTTTGTATTTTTTTTGGCCTGTTAGCCTGACTGTTAACTTGTATGTACAATAATTAACTTTGTAAGGACTTTAAGATAAAGGGAGCCGACAGTGGCGAATAAAAGGTGGGTGGGGGAAAACGGGGAAAAAGAATTGAAATGCGTTATGTTCATATATCAATTCCCCTCGGTTAGTGTAATTCTGTACTGTAAACGTACTAATAAAACACATACTGATCACATGAAGAGTGTTAGAAAAGAATAAAACAGAAAACAAAAGGAACTGAAATATATTTGCACACAGAAAAGCCCCCAAGAAGTAACACCTTAAAACTCCTCCTTCCTTAATGTCTTCGCATTCCAAGTTGCTCATCGTGACACTTTCCCTTGAGTAACACTGTAAACCTTAAAGTGTATTTCTGTCTCACCCTCCTGAGCCTTGTCGAGTGAGCTTCATGATTTCCCTTTTTGAAGATGAGAAACGTCTAGAGCAGTTACGTGGTTTATCTAACACTACACAGTTAGACAGTGACTCCATCACCACACACACCTCTGCCTTCTGTTTGCTCTACCAGATCATTCACAGCTGCTAAATAAATGGATTCTCCTAAGAGACATTTCTACAGCAGCCTCTGGGCCAGAGGGGAATAAAAGCAAGGGGCCTGGAGTCTGAGCAAATCAAGAACATCCGCCATCCACATAATACCTACCCAACACCCACCGCACGCCAGGCACGGCAACAGCAGCTTTCATTATCAAAGTGAACTCGTGACATAACTGGCCCCATCTTAGAGGTAAGGAAACCGAGGCACAGGGAGGCTTATGACTCAATGAAGGTTACAGAGCATGTGGCAGCAGAGATGGGCTGTGCTACAGTTGTAACTGACACTAGAGCTGGACCATGCTACAGTTCCCCGTCTTGGGGCAGCAGCGAGAGGCCTGCTGCCCTCAGCACCCCGCGGATGACTCGCAGGTCCTGTTGTGTTGCCTGCTCTCAGAACACTGAATACTTCCCAGATCATGAGCTTCTTGAAAGCTGCAAAAAACTAATTTTTACAGCAAAAGAAACTGGTGTTTCAGGGAAGTAAAGTTTTTCTGTACATAGGAGGAGGCCGTCAATACCTCTAAAAGCTCAATCACCTAGAAGATAGAGACACCGCACCAACGTGCAGGCGTGGAGCCTTTCGAAAGCACAGCTGCAGAACTGATTTTCTCTGCCAAAGACGCCTTTTCCAGACCTTAATTTAAAAACTATCCGGGCCCAAAACCCCTAATATTTAAATGATTGCTGCCGTGACTCTGAATAATTGTGTGCCACCGTTTCTGTCTCTAAGCTAAAGCTGGGTGAAGGGAGGGCCAACAGATGGACATACAGACTTTTACAAAGGTCAAAGCCTTGGAGCTCCGTGTTTGCATCTCGTGTGTGTAGCATCTTTCTCCTTCCGAGTAGCAGGCCCCCAGCCCTTCCCATCATGCACTTGGTTTTGTATAAGATGCAGAACACAGGGACCGAACGGCTCAGATGTCCGTGACCGCTGCAGAAGGTCCAGCATGGACTCACAGGAATGGTTCTGAACTGTCAGGACAGCGAGACCTTAAAGGTGACTGTAAGATGCCAAGGGCACCAGGTGAGCTGTCAGAGAACTGGAAAAAGTTTAGTTCGGGTGACGGTGATACTGCTTTCATCGGGCATGGATAATGGAAGGGTCTAGACGTGCGAAGCTGCCAGAGTCCTTCTGTATGAGGTGTTACGAGGCGCACCGGATGCTCTTCATCTGTCGTCTCTTCGGCACTGTCACCCCTCTGGGTCTGCGGCAGGGACTGATTTCAGGATCTTTGCTGATACTAAAATCCGCAGGTTGCCAAGTCTGTCATGTAAAATGGTACGGTATCTGCTCGGAATCTATGCAAATGCTAAAGCTGCAGTATTGCATATCCTCCCACATACTTTTGATTTCTCTCCAGTACCCAATACGACATGAGTGCTGTGTACACAGTGCGGCCCTCCGTTGTCCAGGGAACGATGCCAGGAAAAGCCTGTGCATGTAATTTAAAGTGTGTCGTGTGGGGTGGTTGGGTCTGCAGATGTGGAACCTGCAGAAAGAGGGCTGGCTTCCTCACGCACGCCAGGCACTGTCCTAGGGCAGGTGCCAGCAGCAGTGAGCACGACAGTCTCTGCCCTCGTACACTACAGTGGGCAGACGGAAGTCCAAAGGCAAGGTCGCTCAGACCCTAAGTCCTGAAGAGAGTTCCGGAAGCAGGGTAGCCGCTGAGGTGTAACTGAAGGAGAGAGAACCCTAACTTACTGGGGGTGGTGAAAGGCGGCCTCTGAAGGGTTCCTCTTCCTCCCAGAGAGTCAGAGCTCATGGCTCTCGGTGCTGCAGCAGGTGTGTGTGTGAGTGAGTGAGTGTGTGTGAGACGCAGATTCAGGCTCTGGCTTGAAGCTTGGAAAAGGGTTTGCTATTCTTTAGATAAAGCAAGAACGAGTCAAGAGAAAACAAAGATGGATCCAGGCTCTCTGAGGTCTGTGCTGGCGGACTCACTCGCGGCATGCGTGTGCAGCACGTCGTTGGCATCACTGACGGCCCTGGGAGTCCCATCGCCGTCCTGGGCTCTGGCCCAGGTAGTGGGGCCACTTCCTGAGAAGGGAAATGGCATGGCGGCAGCGAGGCTCGAGGGACAGGCTTTGAAAACCCCACAGCGCTGCTGGAGGAGGATGGTCCTGCTGTGGGCCTGGCCGTTCTGTCCCACCTTGGCTCCTGCTGAGGGTGCTCTTCATGGGGGGTGCGTGTTGTCTGTGCAGCTCCCCCTGGCACAGCAGGCTTAGGTTTCTACAGGGTGCAGTGCAGTGGGGACCCGCTTCACACGGGGGCTGTGGTTACTTCCACCACAGGCCCAACACAGCCTGCCTTGAGCGTTTTCCTTGCGACTTTATAGTAACACAATCATGTTTTATGGGAGAATAAAGGTGGGGAACCAAAGGTGTAGCTGAGGTAGGGAACTAACATTTATACAGTATACGCAAATGCGAAAGACAGCCTGCTAGGGATTTATTTCTCTCTTAATACAACAAATCTGGAAAGTAAGTGATATTATTTGCATCTTGGAGATAAAGAAATTCAGGCATCGAGCGGAAAAGTGGACAGCACATGCAGCGTGGCAGTAGTTACCGGGGGCTCGCTGTGGAGGCTGAGTGTGGGCCAAGTGCCCCCCATGTATTACGTCAGACCCTCTGCTCCCCTGCCTCGCCCCTGCCCACCCTCCGGGAATCCAGCCCAAGCCTTGCGCCTGCTCACAGCACCGAGCTAAGCTCCCAGCCCTTCCAGCTGCACCTTCACAATGACCCTGTGGGCACACTTACTGTCATTTTCACCACAGAGACGAGGAAATGGAGCAGTTAAGTGCACTGCTGAGGCCGCACGGCCATCAATGGTGGACCTGGGATTTGAATCTCACTGTCTGTGCAGCGAGTCGTGGAACTCCCTTCTGAAGGCAACGTGACCACAAAGCCCTGCTCTCGTCACTCTTCGCTCCTGCCATATAACTGATGCAAACAGTGTGCGTCCTACTGGCACGAGCAACACAGGCAAAGCAGACAAACGGGTCACGTCAAAGGGACAGGCTTCTGCACAGCCAAGGAAGGAGCAGGACTAAAGGAACTCACACAGAGTGGAGAAAGTATCTATGAACTATGCCTCTGACAAGGGAGGGATATCTAGACTTATATAGGGAACTAAAAAAGATGAATACTCCCCAACCCAATTTAAAAATTGGCTAAAGAACTAACCAGACACTTCTCAAAGAGACATATGAACGGCCAACACGTACATGCAAAGGTGCTCAGTCTCAGTAATCATCAGGGAAATGCAAATCAGAGCCACGACCAGCTACCACCTCACCCCGGGTAGAATGCTGTCATCAGAAAGATGAGAGATGACAAGGGCGGGCGGGGTGTGGAGAAAGGGGACCCGAACCCTGCTGGTGGGAATGTAAATTGGTACACACTGTGGAAGACGATATGGAGAATACTCAGAAAACTGACTAACGCCAGAGCGATCCAGCAGTTCCACTACCGGGTGCGTCAAAAAAGCACTTGCACAGCCATATTTACTGACACCTATTCACAACAGCTAAACTATGGAATTAACCCAATGGATAAATGGATAAGGAGAATGTAACACACACACACATGAATATTATTCAGTCAAAAACAATGAAATTTGTGTTTGCAGCAACATGGATGAACGAGAAGTCATTATGTCAAATGAAATAGGCCAGACACAGAGATAAGCACCACACTTGTAAAACTAGTAAGTTAATCGTTCAGGGGAACAGAGTGGAATAAGGGACAGATGGTCAGTAAGCCGCACCGATGACAGCGTGGGGACTCTTCCTCAGCACTGGAGGT